GCATCACTCCATTAAAAGCAAACTCGGATTTGTGATAAAAGTGAATCTAGTGGCTTAAACTGACTGTGGTATCTAAATAAAGTCTCAGATGTGTATCAGAGCCAGGGCTCGTCTTTCCCAGTCAATGCCCGTTCAACGCCCGCATGTCGGTGGCTATACCATAAGTTACCGACTTTTCCGAGTCTTGACTAAAAACAAAAGGGGAATGAATGCGTCAAGTATAGTCGACTAGTTAACATAAGGTAGGTAGGGGGTATAATAAAAGAAGAAAGAAACAGGCATCATATCATCCTGACCGCCTCACATGATGAATACTTCCCAGAAGCTACGCCATCTTGGAAAAAAAAGAAGAAAATATAACTACAATGCAAGAGTAAAATTCCACTTCAGTGCATCAGCTAATGACTGTGTTCACTTCTCAGAGCCACTGGACCTTGGAAACCAGAACTTCCAGGGACGACGTCGTGCATTTCCAATCCCTGGGAGCTCGATCTCGGCCGCTTGTCTCGTCGAATGCCTAGGCGTTGGTCGCCTTCGTGATAATGCGCCTTGAACTGATAATATGTGGGTTGTCGAGGGCGACATAGAACGACAATAAAGTTCTTCAACATGTTGGCCTGAGAGAATGCCCGGAAACGCTCCTTCTTAGCAAACTTGTGTGAATTCATGTACTCTCTCGTCGTTTCGCCTCGCGCCATGAGGAAGATGTGGTATCCCATCAAAGCAGCAGGATAAAGGAAGGAGATAAACCCAAGGAATACCAAGGCAAAAGGAACTCGGAAGTGGTCGATAGCTTTTCCGAATGAGACACCTTCCCGATTCTTGTAAAGCAGAATCTGTGTAAGAGAAGTGGCGATAAGGTAGGCCGCGAGGATAGTTGCGGATGTAACAAAGGTAAAGAAATATCGGTAATTACGTTTCCCGACACAGTTGTTGAGCCACACGCAGTGATGATCATGGGTCTCGATACAGTTATCGCATAAGCGACAGTGGTGGGCACGGGGTGGTCGCCAGATATTGCATGTTCTACAGTGCTTAACCGGAACTTCCATGGCGGCTGTTGATGATTCGGCAGATTTTATCAATGCCCAATCTGTCGTGGGTGGACTCAGTTGGAGAGGGTCATCGTTGTCGTCGACAGGGGGGAACTGGTGAAGATTTCGCGGAAGAATCTGACAAGCATTAGCCAACGCGCACCTTGATGCGAACAAGATATGGACTTACCCCAGGATCGGTAACAGAGGCGTGGATGAAGGAAGAGAAACATATATACGCAAGGTATGCAAAAACAATAGGTATCGCAGGTGATACATGCTTCCATAACCAAGGTGCTTCAAAACCAAAGAACAGGGCGCAAGGAATGATGACAAAGATACCAGTCGCAATATTAACAGGTCTCCCTCTTGTGTTTTGCCAGCGACCACCAAGACAGAATACCGTGTTGCCATCGAAATACTGATAAACACGTCCGAGGTCGGATTTCTGACTTGGCTTATGAGGGACGCGGGGATGACGCTCAGTATGAGAGTCTACAGGCCTGAACTGTGGTGAAGATGCGGACGAAGAGAGTTTCTCAGCTCCTTCGGTACTGCGATTCTGACTTTGCTGGCCTTCGTTACTTCGGCCCGGCATTAGGAAGCTTGATCGAAACGACCGTGGAGATTTGATCGGGCTGGGCAGGTTGTGTAGGTCCTTATAACTCTTGTCCACAATGATGTTGTGCTGAAAGTGACCTGTATCGGATGTCTTGCCTTGTTGAAGAGGACGAACACTATCCGTCAAACTCCCCGCAGGATAATGGCCATGACTAGGGCTCGTATTCGCTGTTATTCTGTCCAAAGTTTCTTGTTCCGTCATTTCCGTGCCTCGGGATGGTGGAGATCGCATGTTTTCGTCATTGCTTGTTTGGCGCTGCAGTTGCGCAATGGGATTCGATATGATACTTTGCCGTGTTTGGCTACCACTAGCTTCGCCGTGCTCGTCGAATCTTTGTTGTGACGTTGGCGATGTTGGTGACGTTGGTGAGGTGGGAGATGCTGGCGACATTTGAGTCATTGTAGATGGGCGATGCGATCCTCCTCTTTGCGCCTGTAATTTCTGCGAGCTCATGGGTCGGAAAAAAGCGTGCGACTGCAACGATGGAACATGGCTTCTGCTTGATAAGCTCGGCGCTTGACTTGTCGAACCGGCAGTCGAACTCTCGACACTCCCTCTCTTCGCTTGTACGCCAGAAAGATATGTCTTGTTACGCAAAGACTGACCCTGCCATGGACCCCTGGAAGACGCTCCCGTTCGTGCAGTATCCGGCCGGGAACCCATGTCCGCACTTCGAGGAATGCTCATTCTGTTCTTCTGCAACTCTGGCCCGTCCCCGTCCTCACTCGCGATGTCCGTCATTCGAGAAGAAATTATGCTCGGCGGCCGGGCGGCTTCGGAACGGGAATTTTGTGGCGCTGAGAAGCCATCGTCATCGGATTTCGCGGCCATAGCGATGGCAATGTTGAGTAATGGTGTCGTTCGCAGTGGTCTACCTGGAGACGACTTTACAGGAAGTCTTGGTCGAGATTAAGGGAACGGTTGCGCGAAAGGTCAAACCGAGTTCAGCCTCCCATTCATTCAGAGCCTCGTTAATTTCGTCGGCTGGCCAGTGAATAGGTAGGTAGTGTCGAATGATATCCAAAAGTGAAATCGGCACGGTCGGCAGGTTGGTCGCGTTACGCAGTACTTTACAAAGGAGCCAAATGAAGGGATGGAAGGACAGGGGTGAGAGGATACGGGTTTCGATCGTGGAAAAGGGAATTAGGAGAAAGTGGTCGCGAGAAAGATAGGTAGCTAAGCACGGCAGGTAGGTAGGTAAGGTAGGGAGCGCACAATTGGAGAGTTAAACCAGTAAGTAAAAGAGAACGTAAAGGGCGGCCAGCAACGAAAAGAAAGGTGATGGGATGGTGACAAGACGAAGAGGAGGTGTTGTATGCTTGTTCCTTTTTCCTGTCCTGTCCTGTCCTTGCCTGGTTCCGGCTCAGGACTGGTTTCTTTTTCCAAGCCCAGTCCAGCCTCAGAAACCTTGGGCCTGAATCCTTAGGTACCTAATTGGACGTTCGCGCTCATCCAAGCTGTCCTCGGGCCCCCCTACCTTAGTAGGTAGTAAGGGGCCAGGGGCTAACCTCAGGTCACTGAAGCCCCTGCTAGCGGCGCTGTTGTAAGGGCTGTCGGCGGTTGAGAACTCCAGACGATAATTGATCACGAAAAGTGCTATTGGACTAAGAGATTGCTATGGCTGAACGCATACGCCGCAATCAAAATGCTCTGTACCTTTTTCTCATGCACAAAAAGACGTCACTTTCGACAGATTGTGGAAACCTTCTGCAGCAACCCGTTTCGTTGACGTTTGACAGCCAGTCCCAGAATAACTTCGGTTACGGTAAATCAGTGAATAATGATGGTTGCATTCACTTAAAACTCGACTGAAGCCAGCTAATAACTTAACTTTACTAGTCTTGGCTTTAAGAGGCTGGTATGATCGTCGCTGCATCATAATGAACGAATCTTCATGCTTTAGCCAGGGACAAGAATAGTAGGGAGCCAGCTTGCGGCCTGGTTACCAAGGCATCATCGCTAGAAATGGAAGCTCCCGCCTGGACTCAACTCAAGACGTCATTTCTTGTAAATCGTGATGCTGCACGTGACCCTCTCAGCTCCCCCGGCATTGGCCAATGATAGTGCACGCATTCATCGTAGCGACTGTCTCCGAAATCATACGAGAACTTCAAAGCTTCAACCACCTAAGAAAGCCCCCGACGTAGAAACCCATTCTTCAACAGCAAACAAAATCACGTCGTCAAAATGGCCTCTCGCATCTCCCGCCGATTCCTCTCCACCACCGCCCGCCGCTTCCAGGAGCACCAGAAGGCCGAGCTCAAGAAGGAGTCTCGTCGCAACCCTGAGATTCTGGTGCGTCATAATGCCTCGGCCCACCCTTGGAACTATGCCAGGCCAAAACACTGAGCGATGGGAATGGACTATGAATCATGGTTGCTAACGTAGATGGATGATTTGCAGATTCTCGGTGGTGTTATGGTTGCTGCCCTTGGCGGTGCCGGCTACTTCTTTGGTACGGAAATTAGCTGATATGTCAAAACTGAAGCAATTGCTGACATCGCCATCTTCAGGCCGATCTCCCACCGGCGCTACCTCCGAGTCTCCCGTCACCATCGCTACTCACCCCTGGGAGAGCGGTAGCTCTGGCAAGTACCAGTACCACCCCGGTGGTGACCCCAACGCAGCCCCCAAGGACGCTCCCAGCGCTCTCAACGTTGTCGTCGTTCCCAACGTTACCCTTCCCGCCGAGCTTCACGAAAAGTACAACAAGTGGGGCAAGGACGGATATCCTTAAATCACGAGTTTGGAATGATTCTGAAGCTGGCTACATGAACAAGCATGTATTGTAGGGAATGAGGGGAGACCTTATGAGTTGGATCAGCCAGGTCTCCCACGTCCTGTGTAGAAAGAAGAAGGACAAGATGGGCTTGATTTAAGCAGCCACCCATAGTTCACATACGACGCGCCGCGATTTTTCTTAGCTTTGTGTCTTTCAACTATAATTTGACTTATCTCTGGCCTCATTATGTCTGTGCCTGATCTCCGGCTCCCGGGAATTGACCGGACCAAAGGCTGCTCTGGATATGTTCACATGGGCTTCCAATAACAACGGCGAAATGGCATGATTTCACATACGTCACAGAATAACTCTTGTTTCTCATTGTTTCTCGTTACTTCTTGGTATCTCATCACTCACCAATACAACACCCGTCATTCCTCGTAATATCCTAAACTCCTATCTTCACCAGTCTTGTGACAACTTTGTCTGAACTCAACGCCGACAACTAAACAACCAACGCATCAATTTCTTCGGAAATGAATCCAAGAAGATACAGGAGATCCAAGAGGCTCTCTCCGTTCAGGCGGGCGTTAGCTTCCATCTGAACACGGGGCTTTGCGTTCCATGCAACTCCTAGACCTGCCTTGTCCAGCATGAGCAAGTCGTTGGCGCCATCACCAACAGCAATGACTTGACACAGGTCAATGCCCTCCTTGGCAGCAATGTCCACGAGAAGATCCCTCTTCCGCTCCTTGCCCACAATGACCCCCTCGACCTCACCTGTGAACTTGCCGTCTTGAATAACGACGTGGTTCGCGTGGGCGTAATCAATACCCAGTTGGCCAGCTAGCCATCCTGTCAACGGCTGGAAACCGCCGGAGAGAACAGCTGTCTTGACGCCCAGTCGCTTGAAGGCCTTGATCAACTCTGGTACGCCCTTGGTGACGTCCAATACTGGCCGCAGGCCTTCAAACAGGTTGGCGGGAAGGCCCTTCAGAAGAGTAACGCGCTCGCGGAAAGAAGCCTCAAATTCCAGCTCGCCCATCATGGCACGGTGCGTAATCTCGGCGACTCGTGCAGCCAGATCTGGGGGATCCTTGACATGATCAGCCAAAAGATCAATCACCTCTTGAGTGATGAGTGTGCTGTCCATGTCAAAAACCACAAGTCGAGGATGGCGTCTCCACACTGTATCTCGCTGCAGGACCACATCGACGTTCCACTCCTGCTCAAATCGGTAGATCATCTCATGCTTTCTCAGGTCGTCCAGGCTCAGATATTCAGGTGATGGCGTAGGAGAGAGCGTGAGCTCAACAATGCGCGGTTGCTCTTGGTTATCCAAACATCGGTGAGAGGAGTGAGGCTCATCGGCGTCCTGAGGAAGAGGGAAAGAAGACATGAGGTGAAGGAATGAGGTGATGCATAGAGGCGAGATGTAAGAACCATAGATATGGTCGAGCTGCTCTGACTCTTGAGTTGGCGGCTCCAGAGGATACTCGTTGGGATCAGTGGTCGGGGCCAAGTTGGCGGGCAGAGACTCGTTACTGTCTGCAAAAGTGGTTTTGACGGGAGATCTGGAGCCCTGATCCTCGCCCCTTGGCTTATAGAAAAGGGTTGCGATAAGACGATCCGACTTCTCACCAGCTCTGGGGGCGCAATTGGGGTGAGAGTACGAGTGGCTCAGTCCACTGTCGACGACAGTCGGGGGGTTCTCCTCGGACGGGATGCCATTGAAGGGCAAGATTGGCCTCGTCTGGGGAACGGGTGAGTTGCTGGTGTCCTCTATAACGGTGTCAATGCCGTGGAACAGCTGATCCTGTCGAGCTGAGTCGGGTCGAGGAGGGCGGTACTCCTGGTGATCACTAAGGTATGAGCTGCTCCTCATGGAGCCCAGCTGCGGCCGTGTGACATTTTGTTTGGTGGGACTTGTCTTATCTGCCATTGTGTTGACTGCCTTGCCTGTTTGTGTGTGTACTGTAATGTAATTGCGTGCGTGCGCGCGCGGGGTGAGATTTGCTAACGTCTGACTGACTGGCTCTGACTGGTTCCGGTAATCAATAGCGTCCGTCAAGGAAGAGCTGAGATACGAGGTTTAAAAGCCCAGAAAGGAGACTAAGAAATGTTTAAATCAACCTAGGTAGCTAGGATAAGTGATAACGCGCAAGCGCCTGTGGTACAGCGAGCAACGGACCCTAGAAGCTTGCGTTAAATCAATCTTCGGACTCCAAAGATGAGAGGGTAGTAAGCGTGGGTAGGCAGGATGTCTTTCGCCAGGGCACTTCTCTCCGTGTCTTAGCCCCCGCCAATGGCTCGTGCGACTTTGACCTTACGGCATCTGCGGCTCCTGTCAGGCTTGGTCTAGTGTATGATTGGTGCAAATAAGCCCGCAGCCTCACGGGTTTTGTCATTTTGATGAAGACATTCAATGAACCTGGAAAATCACGTGAGTGTAATTTAAGATGTATGTAACTCTGATGAAATGTCTGTGTAGATCTTTGAAGGCCGTGGCTGTAAATTGCAGCCCTCAGTTTGCCTTGTTGGAGTCCTTACTCTGGGCATCCAGTTAGCTCATTGTATTGGCTTCATACGGCCCGGTGTTGATAGCAAACTGTTGGTGTCAACTCATAAAGAAAACATTGAATGATAAACACTTGGCTCACCCAGGAGCGAAAATCGACAAAATTATAGAGTACGGGTCACATTGATAAAGCAATGACGCAAGCAACGGGCTGGGATTATGACGTAGCTTGAGATTAGGTCAGAGATCTCCACGTTAGCTTGACAAGTCAGCAACTTTGGCATTTCATTGTTAAACCCGTATATTAGTGAGCACCCAACCATCGGAACACGGCCTAACCTTTGATCCTTGATGCGAATAGTAGTCCGTCCCGAAGAGGAGGAAAAAATTGTTCAAATTGGAGCCAGGCACACAACGGCAGTCGCACGGTTCCTCGGGACCGATGTTCCGAACCTCATATTGACAAAGACCGACTGCCGCACCGGCTGCTCGGTAATAGATTGCGCCTTCGAAGCACGTCTTTTTGGGAGCATGTAAGACGCCAGCACAATTTTATAACTGGAATTGACTAGGTAGGTTGTGTCCATGTTTATACTTATACAGGCTGAGATACAGGCAATGAGCTGTCGGCCCGTAAGGTATGTAGGAAGCATAACTCAAAAGTCATCAACAATGGAACTTTGATATCATCGATCTCAGCATGTGGCAACACAATGGCTCATTCTTGCGACAGATACACATACATACATCGAGTGACACACTATCATCGTAAACGGAAAGCATATTCGCTTCCTCCGGGGATACTATGTAATTTCAATTTCGCAACCCAAGCCAAAATGACATGATCGCGGGGAACCTGCCCTCGTGCTCACAATCGTGCAATGGATGGCCCTGGTCAGTCACTGACTCCATCTGATCTCGCCAATCCGATGGTTAGTTGATACATCCATGCCCAGATCTAGATAACATGAGATTTGGCTTTGATTGTGAGGTGAGCCAGTTCAAGACCATATAATTTCTAAGCGATACTTATAGAACCTTCTGCTCGCATGATAATGATGATGATGATACCTAACCTCCAACACCCGGGGTTGCCGCTACCTATAGACAGACTATAGTCCCACCGAATAAGAGGCCCAATGGACCTCCGGCTCGGCGGCTGTATCGAAGTTATGTCGTTGTCCGGGATGAGGTGAGGCAAAACAAGTCCCATCTGCTGGGCGCCATTTCAGGGCTTTGGTCCCTAGGCCAATCAGACTTTGTCCTGACCGTGGCGCCCCCATCGCGAAAGGTATAGCGTCGATGTCGTGATCAGTCTCAGTTGCAACTCATGGTCGTTAATCCTCATGGCGGCGATTGCGCAATTGCAGCTCCCCATCTTTTTCCACCTCCTGGGCTCGTCACAGGCAGAATACTCTCGGGTTCGGACGATGTCCTTGCACATTACTAAGGACGCCCTTGATCGGGTGCACAGCGGGCGGTCGCCCGGACATAGGTAGCTTGTAAACCCCATACAACTCAGCTCGTCTCTCCCTCTCCGTCTCCCTCTCTCTCGACTTAACTTAAGAATTTGACTGTCCTCGTTCATTGTCGTGTTCGTCATCTCGTCTTTCCAGTGCTTTGAAATCCTACTCTATAATCAAATCAGCACACTATCTGCGTCATCAACTCGACTAGAGCCTCTTGACTCTACCTTACCTTTGGCTGCCTATTAGATATAACTGGGATACACTCTTCACCTATCCCAGCATTCAACAAGACTCAAGTAGCAACTCATCTTTGAAACACCATCACCGCGTCCTTCAACATGCCTGCCTTCATCTCCCAAACATCCTCGCAGGTGTCACTCACCGACATCAAGCTTGAGTGCGAGTCAGGCTATGTCTCTGGACAAAACTCAGAATACTCATCACCATCATCATCAACCACTCTGCCCCAGGTCTCTCTCACCAAGGCCCACATCAACCACCTCAACAACATGCTCGAGGATATGCACCCCATGGACATCCTCCGATTCTGCAAGGTCATGTTCCCTAACCTGTACCAATCCACTGCTTTTGGCTTGACTGGTCTCGCAACCATGGACATGCTCTCCAAGATCCAGAAGGAGCACCCCAACTCTCCCACTGTCGACCTCATCTTCCTGGATACCTTGTACCACTTCAAGGAGACATACGACCTTGTCGACCGAGTGAAGGAGCGATACCCCAACGTCCCTGTCCACATCTTCAAGCCCGATGGCGTCAACACTACCGAAGAGTTCGAGGACATGTACGGAAAGGAGATGTGGAACACCGCCAGTGAGATGTATGACTGGATTGCCAAGGTCGAGCCTCTCCAGCGAGCCTATGATGAGCTCAAGGTTGCTGCCGTACTCAACGGTCGTCGACGATCTCAGGGTGCTGCCCGTGGTTCCATCCCCATCATCGAAGTTGACGATGAGCGTGGTGTTGTCAAGATCAACCCTTTGGCCACATGGTCCTTCAAGCAAGTCAACAACTACATCAAGGAGAACAATGTTCCCTACAACGCTCTCCTCGACCAAGGCTACAAGTCCATCGGCGACTGGCACTCTACTGCCCCCGTCAAGGAGGGTGAAGACGAGCGAGCCGGACGATGGAAGGGCCAAGACAAGACCGAGTGTGGCATCCACAACAAGAAGTCTCGATACGCCGAGTTCGTTGCTATGATGGAGCGCAAGCAACAAGAGGAGAAGCTTGCTGCTGCTCTCGAGAAAGTAGCTCTACCCACCGTATGAGTGCACTTGCACCCAGGCAACCACTTATCTTTGATGACTTAATGATTGAGGCATTATGCGAGGCGTTTAAGGGGATAAACTGGCTCAGCAGTTATCGTGACTGAGCAGAATGAAGCTTTTGGTATTTCGGGAAATCATTGAATGGCGTTAGGAAAAATACAGGAAGCAGGATGCAACGGAGGAATAGCAAGCACATGACGAAGATAGATCTGTCGCAGGCTGCAGACAGAACAATAAATGAAGGAATCAACCAAACCTCGCAACATGCGTCTTTGATAGTGAGGTCTGCGATGTCAATTATGAGAAATGAGGTCAAATGTCAATGGTAATCAGGATCACGAGGTTGGAGCCACAATGATAAGCTACCCCGCGTCAAGACATGAGTTTTCAAGCTAACAAAGCATCACGTCTCCACTGCCAGATTCTGATATCGTCTTATCTGAGCCTTTCGACCTACCCTTTAGTGCTACCTACAACTGTCCATCGTGACCTTTTTCAGCCTTGCGCCACTGCTAACAAATAAAAAGTCTTGCCTCTTGTCAATATGCAGGACCTCATTTCTTCTCCGCCCGCCTTTGTTGAAAGAAAGAGAAAGATCCTTGAACAACTTGCGATTCCAGACACAGAATACACGGATGCTTCACCGAAAGGCTCTGTAGATGAGGGCATCAGGGATCTCATTGATGAAATTAACCAACAATCCGGATTTGTCACTACCAGCAGCTGTGCAGGTCGTGTCAGCGTTTTTCTTGAAGGGCGGAGAGTTGCTGACACTGAAGGACAAGATGAACGGGTAGCGGGTGTTGGTGGAAAAGGTGCTGGGGGTGCTTGGTTGTTCGTTTCCCATGATCCAGTCCCTGACAAGGGTGATGGAAGTACAGACTGGAGCAGTTTATTTGGACTCCGGGAATCTACAGAGGCACAGGAGACAACTGGGCAAGTGAAAGAGAGAAGACTTGTCCACTTCAAGTACGAGGCAATGGTAAGCAGAAATTGTGCTGTATCTAATATAGCAGAAATGCATTATATAATACAAAGAACATCCATACTGAGATATTACGTAGATCCTCCACGTTCTCACAGCATCACCCGAACACGCTCAACTACTTCTGCGTTGCGGCCTTCAGGCAGGGTTTCGCGAGTCGGGTGCCCTCAATATCATCCCGAATGACAAGGATGCTGCCACTCCTATGGTGGCTATACGGACAATGGGGCTTGCCTTTGAGTCTCTCATCGGGCAGCAAATTGATGGGCATCGGCAACGCATAGTCTCACCCGAGTACCTCCAGACCCTCGTCCAGATTGCCAATGAGCGCTTTATCGAGAATAAGAAGCGCATTGAACGCTTCCAAAACGCCTTCAGAGATGCTGTCGCTGCTCCAGTACCACGTCTAAACCCTGAAGGGCAAGAATGGGAGGACGCTGCAGCAAGAAGAGAAAGGAAGCGCGCTGAGGGCCTGCGAAAGAAAGCCGAGCTGAAAGCCAAGCAAGAGACAGCACCAGAATCAGACCGTGCCAACTCAGGAAAGGAGGAAGATGCAGGACTGTTTCTTGAGATATAAGTTGTACACTTTGATTCCTCAAACCTATTTTCCCCGCTATCAATGCCGTAATGTACACGTGCATACCTGTCTGGGCATACCAGAACCCATCGCCTCTATATCTCTATAGAATCATTCTCCATTCCCATTACCGGTTTTCCTTAACTCTCTACGAGACGACCTTCTCGACCCAGCTCTTCTCAAGTTTCTTGACTTCAGCCTTGAAGTTCTCCACCTCCTGCCAACAGTCGAGCGGCCGTCGGTCATGCTCCCGCAGACATCGAATGACCTCATTGCGCGCTCCCTCAACGCTCTCGGGCAGAGGACGCACTTGCTTGCGTGACTCGAGCTTCTTACGCATGGCTTCAATCTCCTTGCTGACGGTGTACTGGCTCGTGCTGTTGTCATCTTTGAAATCGGCGCTGGCAAGTTTCTCGTGTGCTATTTTGAGAGCTTCGGCCTCTTTCTGCTGTAGCTTCTTGAGCTCCTCGGCCACGCGGGCCTGGAGCTGGAGCTCGACTATCTTGGAGCGAGAGGCATCGGTCTATTCAGAATCGAGAGAACGTGCATTAGCTTCGATTGACGCCCGTGGAAAATACAATTGCAAGACGTTGCGGATAGAAGTACCTCATTGCTGGATTGTAGTGAATTAACGAGATCTTGTGACAGTCCGTTAGGCGCTGAGCTGTTTATTGGCAAGCTGTTAGTCGCTGATGGGAACATAGCAGCATACCCTCCATAATCAGATAAACTTACGCCTTCCACACATGTGAGGAGATTGGTTTCGACTCGCTGGAACCCATTGTGTCGACCGCAATGGCTGTACAACCGATGTTCAATGCCCGTGATAGCCTTCCTGGAAATTCCGGCGTGGAGCGGCGATCCGTGGCTGCCTGAGGTTGCAAATACACCTGGTCCAGCGACGCCGAGTGTGGCGCCTGAGTGTGGCGCCTCACCGGCGACCGAGACATGGTCACAAACTATTACACCACATGCCACTTGTACTGTCATTAATGCATAGCATTGTCCAAGTAGGCTTGAACATAGGACGATGTCCGTGCTACTTGCGATGATGATTCAACAAACATGCCACTGTCGACAATCTATCTTCCACAAACAATGATAAACTCATAACACCGGCCAAGCCCGCGCTTATTACGATCTGATGTTGGGGTAAGATGGCCTGTTCCATGATCATAGCGATTTACAGAAGCCAATGCCTGCCGATGCAAAGAATGGGGGTGTCACGGCGACCCAGCTTACGAAGTCCTGCTGTACTGTAAGGTCGCGGCTTGACTGGCCGATAGGATCCAAGGATTAACGCAAGCATCAGGTTCAGGACAATCTCCTCAAGGGGCCTTGAGATTTCCATATCTAGAATCGAGATAGCGCCCGCTCGTGGGGCTGTATACATCGGATGTAGCTTACCAAGGCATCGGAAGCGAGCATTCAGGCACTAGATAATTTTATCTGTGACGCCAAGACAGTCGACCTGATAGACAATGTGCGCCAAAGGATCAAGAGCCTCGTGGGCCTGGATATCCAGCGGTCATTTTTCCGTTATCATGTTAGATGGTGGACAGGCTAGCTGGGCCGCAGTATCAAACTGACGTCGAAACAGAATTCCATCAACCACAGGACGAGAAAATATAAGATTGCGGGCCGCGTCTGACCCTTGGCAATGATGTTTGCAGGGAGCATCTCTGAATACCTTGTTGATTGAGGCTTTTGGTCAGCATTGGCAATCTGTCGTGCTAAGCGAGGAGATGAAGCCTTGAGTTGAGAAGTCTTGGTGAAGGAAGAAGCATGGGAGCTGTCATCGTGGTTGTGGTTGTGGTTCATGGCATGACAGATGCGCCCTCATGGTTTGCCGTGCAAGCCGTAGGATGTTTCAGTCAGGCCGTTTTCATCCACTCTGAGCAGGATTGCGTCAGAGGAACAATGAGACGAGAAACTGGAAACCGATGCGTTTATCCGAACATCAAACAGGAAACAATTTTTTTTTTCATCGTCTGGAAACGTGTCGCGGCGGTGCTGAACTTGAGCTTGTGATACGAGAGTGAGCGTTCCTAACCGGATGCCTCTAAGAGAATGAGTCGTTGGCGGCAATGCTGCGGGGCATTGAGTGGCTACGAAGCGCTGTAAGTGCTCAAGTGCCCACATTCTTGCAGCAGGTCTGGCCGTTGACAGCCAGTCTAGCCAGTCCAACCAAGTCCACCCCTGAAGAGTTGAGCAGAAAACTTGGAGTTTCCCATTCGCCATTCCAAAAGGGGGCCCGGGTGGTCCCCTGAGCAAGGGCCAGCCAGGGCCAGCAAGTGGCTGGTTTCAGAAGCATTGAGTTACCAGGATCTGCCAACAAGCAGCCACTAAATAATGTTCCTCTTCCGCCGAAGGCCTAATTCTGAGATCTGCTAGCGACATCTCTCACCCAATTGGCCATATCTTGCGAAGCCACGCCGTTGCTGGGAGTGCCCCTGCCGTGCTGCAGCTGATGGAGGCTTTTTAAAGTCGGGTGCTAAAGTTCCTAGGCACTCGTGTAAGATGCGCTTTAACGCTCGTGGTTCGTTGTGCCATGAATCTTGTAGCTCTTGTATTGTAAGACATCGGAAGACGTAGTGTAATGTGCGGTCCAACCAGATCGATATGAATTGAATTCTCGGCTTTACGGCTCACAGCTGGAAACAGCACGCCCTGCAGGGGGTCCCAGTTATATCCATCCGTCCAGACTCTGCGGTGCCGAGCCTAGAAGTCTGCTCTTGTCTGTAAGGGGCTCCTTGTGATAGAGACGAACAGGGAGGGGATCCTCTGCCATGCCATGCCCTGCTGTGCGAGTAAATTCTTTCAGCGCCAAGACGCGTAGTACACAGCCTTTTCGGCCAAGTTTGGATGCGGATTGCCCACTGTATCTGGGCTGACAAGTCAAGTGGCGGCGGACTAACTTGAGCTGGGGGGGACCCGTTTACAATACATATTATCACAACGTCCGCTCCGCTGGGCTTCGTGTAGGTATTGCCTCTTCATTCCTCTTGGTCTTTGCTTCGTGCCGTTTACGGTAGTTTGTTCCCTGTTTTATTTTTATCTTTTTCTTCTTTCGTCCTCTGGACCATTGAAACATTCTTCGCTGAGGCTGGCCACTCTCTTCGTCGATCCGCCTGACAGACTGCTTTCGTCGCTGTCGGCCACTGTTCACCGGTTCTCGCCCTCGTGTTTGTCTCTGCTTGTGGTTTCGGGTCTCAGAACAGGTTGAAACATTGAAAAACAACCGTTTCCCGCTTGGCTTCGATTGCCATTGTTTCCTCCGGTCGATCATTCATTATTTGGGTACCTATTGTCTTGTGTGGTACGACAGAGCGCCTCAATTCCTGCCTCACTTCCATATTTCATTCACTACCTATACTTACCTTATCATTCTTCATACTCGCGCAAGCGCCCAAACGTCAACGTCGATCGTCTTAAACGCTTGCCTTTATCGATTGGACTGTGTCTCAATTCGCCCTTGCCCTTCCTTTTCTTACTCGCGGCAATTGACATCGACCCGTTCTTTACCGCTGATCCAAATCCGCCCAAGGTTGGAGATCGTCAGCCTGGCCTGCTTTCTTCCCAACTGCAACTGAGAACATCATCATCACCTTGTTGACGAGGTGAAGCCGACTTGGACATTCTACGTCATTGAGAACTGCCCTGTAGCGACAGTGATCGATATCCAAGTCAGCCTTGTTCTCCGCGGATTGTTTATTGTTCTTTGCTGCCCTTGCCGCTCTTTGCCTTTGTGCTGCGTTACATTGTGTGTTGAACACACCTTCACCAGCACCAAATCTCCCAAGTCACCACCCAACATCTCGCTCGCCGATCACGATTTATCGACACAAGCGCCAAGTCAACCATTTGTTTACCATCATGTTCTGACACCAAAGAGCAAACACAAGGAGGAACAGCTTGCAGTTACTTTCTTTAAAATCACCACTGACCTCTTGACTCTTATTTGGGAACCTTTTGTTCGTCGCACAATTATACTGTCCATCATTCATTCACAGCGAACTGCGAATACTCCCTCTTCATTCGTCTGAAGACCCCGGATAAAAGGAAACCGACTCTCATTTTACTACTAAACTCGCTCCCAGAGAGCAACTACTTAACAAGATGGATTTCACGCGGCGCAGGATCGCCGATATCAGCTCATACATACCAACATCAACCCTCAAATCTCGTGGCGAAGCCGCTCCTGCAGATGCTGAGGCAACTCCAAACTATCACTCAAATCTCGATGGTGTAAACCAACCTATGAATTTACTTTTTAAAGATGCCTTGTGGTGGACCTTGGGCATCATGGCCCTTGTTGTCCTGTCCATCAGAATAATTGAAATCCTGTGGATGAGACTCCGCCAGGTGTCTGCCATGAATGTGTCCGGCTCCAAGCAAGCGTACTGGAGAATATCTCAATGGAGCTGGATGCCAAACGTCAAGAAGAACCTCATATACGCTCCTCTGTGGAACAAACGTCACAACCGAGAGTTCAAGTTATCCTCTGCCATTAGCATGGGAACTCTTCCTTCACGACTTCACTTCATCATCCTCTTCATCTATCTGGGCAGCAACTTCGCCTATATGTTCGTCCTCAACTGGCACAACGAGAACAAGCTTGCTTTCTGTGCCGAGTTACGAGGCCGCTCAGGAACCTTGGCCCTTGTCAACATGGTGCCCTTGATCATTTTCGCTGGGCGCAACAACCTCCTCATTGGCCTGCTCAAGATCAGTTTCGACACCTACAATCTCCTACATCGATGGATGGGTCGTATTGTGGTCCTCGAGTCTATCATCCACACTATCGCCTGGCTCATTGTCGCCGTCGACGACTTGGGTTGGGATGGTGTTGGTCATAAACTTTCCCATGGACTTTTTGAAGGTTCGGGAGCCGTTGGCACGGTTGCTATGACCTTCCTCCTTCTGCTTTCCGTTTCGCCTTTGCGTCATGCCTTTTACGAGACTTTCCTCAACGTTCACATTGTCCTAGCCTTCGTTGCCTTCGTCGCTACATGGATACACTGTGCTTCGTCTGCACTCAAAGGTGGTCTACCTCAACTTCCCTGGATCATGGCTATCATGGCCATCTGGTTCGCCGACCGCCTAGCTCGTATGCTCCGGATTGTCTTTGTCAACTGGTCTTCCAAGGGGTGGACTGATGCGGTGTGCGAGGCTATGCCCGGCAATGTCACTCGAGTCACCCTCCACTTACCGCGATATGTCGATATCGAGCCTGGTACTCACGCGTACCTGCGCTTTTGGGGTCTTTGTGCCTGGGAGAGCCATCCTTTCTCTATCTGCTGGGTCAATCATGTACGCGATAACAGCTTACCGATTACGGAAAAGGATCCTCTCCACGCAGTCGACAAGTCAACTATGACCACTACAGTCTCTTTCCTGATTGGAGCCCAGACAGGCTTCACTAAGAAACTCTTTGACCGTGCCTCCAGATGCCCGCGAGGTCTCCGTATCAAGGCTGCAATGGAAGGCCCCTACGCCGGACACAACAGCCTTGATTCATATGGCCACGCAGTCCTTTTTGCCGGCTCCACTGGAATTACTCACCAAATCTCCTACATCCGCCATCTCCTCGAAGGATACAACCAGGGCACTACTGCTGCTCGACGCATTACACTTGTCTGGATCATCCGCGAATACGAATCTCTCGAGTGGGTGCGGCCCTACATGGATACGATTCTTCGTATTCCAAACCGAAAAGACATCCTCCGCATCCAGATCTTCGTTACCCGTCCTCAGAACCCACGCGATATTGTCAGTGCTAGCGCCACAGTGCGCATGTTCCCAGGACGGCCAAACGTCCCACTCATCCTGGCCCGAGAGGTGCAAGAGCAGATGGGTGCCATGTGCGTCACAGTCTGTGGCCCTGGTGCTCTTGCTGATGATGTTCGGGGTGCTGCCCGAGCAGTGCAGGGCTCAACCGTGGTGGACTTTGTGGAAGAAAGCTTTACGTGGTGAACTGCTACGAGAGTGGTGGAAGTAATCAAGAGGTTTCCGTTCGAACTGTACATACTTACGGCAAGTGGGGGTTATTTCATGGAGGGAGGTCGATATCATGGACAATCATAGCGTAGAAGCGTTTCCATAAATCGATCGATCGTATTATCAGAGATCTTAAGAGAACTATTACTGGAACGAACCACATTTTTGTTTATATTAGTGATATGTTATTAACCAATAGCCCAGGATCTGGCAGCACCATGTACTTATTACCCTACCCAGTCTCTTAATTCATGAGGCTCAGGCAAACCTGGTACATGTGGTTCCATTCAACTAAAGTTCAGTTGTCAGATCTAATGAAAGTCAGGGGACAAGAACATACCAGACCTCGATATAGGGCGTCAAAATAAACCCAGCAAAGAGTCCCTTAAGCTTGGGCTAATTTACCTAATACTTTCATCACTTTTTGTTTCCTCCCCAAGGTACTAAGGTAAGGTACCTTACCTATGGAGACCCCTCCCTGCCTGCCCCGCAAACTTCTTCTCCCAGGGCAGGTGGAGCTCAAGGTTAATTGAAAGAAGTACGTACCTGCCTCACGTCGCGTTTAACTCCTCAAAGACGCGATTGTGCCACAACTAAACCTTTTAACTTTAACAAAGCACTGAGATTACACGTTCTCAACGGATACAAGAGCCTAAGTAGATTAGATTCCAAGTCAATGCTTTCATTTAAACGACTCACTCTATCGCACGAATGCCTACTCGAACACATGATTCCCCGTCGCATTCGCGATCACCATCGCCGCCCTCAAGAGCCACACCGGCGCATCGAAACCTAGCGGTCAGAGAACGGGATTCAAGTCGCTCCGCATCTGGGGCCAAGAGGAAGAGAGCGGACACAAGAAACGGAGAACCCGCGAACCATCGAAGACGGACAGTTGAACCTACAGCTGACAGTGAAGACGAGGAGGAAGACGAGGATATCTACGATCCTGACCAGCCACTGGAGGAGCGCCGCAGAGTCCAGCAGGGCTTCAGAGACTTGCTTCGCGATGTGACGGAAAACACCGAGGAATACCTACAAGGAGACTCGCGAGGGCTTCATGAGGCCATTCTCCGCGCCGATGAACTATCGAAGAAAGTCAGACAGACTACAGAAGCCACAATTGACTCACGGCTACTCGTTAGCACTACCGACCTATCTTACCGAAAGACTTTGAGACTCACACAAGGCAGCCTCTCTCAAGGCATCGATGTTGATGAGTTTGTTTCAAAATGCATCACATATATGAGACATGGCCGAGGAATTATGGACGATAATGCACCCGAGCTCTCGAGCACCCAACGTCAAAGAAGAAGGACCACAAGAGGGGATGAAGATGGCGAGGACGACATCGGGGACGAGGGCGATATGATGAATTGGCCACATCTTGGCCGTTTTGCCAGCTTGCCTTATATCAGGCGTCCCGCTCTCCCCGGGTTCCTCCTTGGGCCTCTGTCGGTCGAGAAGAAGGCTCGCAAGATTACAAAGCGAAGTGCACCCTTTAGACCCAACAATTTGACTGAGACGCGTCCCGAAGTGCTCAATGTCGAGGATCTGGCCAAGAAGGAGAACGATCTCACCGCGATTTGCGGCAAGATTCTTCATCAATTACAAACTCTCCAGGCGAACATTCAGGGAACTGTAGCGGACCTGATTGATGAGACTATGGATGATGAGGAACAGACCAAGATTATGCATCAACATGGCCTTCGGAGCACCGGTGGCATTGACTTGATGCGGTTCGTTGTGAATCCCAAATCATTCGGTCAAACCATCGAGAACATGTTCTATGTCAGCTTCCTTGTCAGAGACGGCAGAGTGAAGATCGACTTTGATGAATTCGATTTACCAGCGCTTGGTTAGTTAATCATGGCCGGGACGTCTGAAACTCGCTAACTGGATGTATAGAAATCATAGAGAGAGATGTCGAGGGAGAGGAAGAAGAGCCGACACGACACGGGGCAGCGAAACACCAAGCAATTCTTTCCATGGACATGGAGACCTGGCGGGACATCATTGACACATTCGACCTCAAGGAGCCCATGATTGCTCACAGAAAGGAGGTGACAACTTCGGGACCTGGTGCGCGGGGTTGGTATAGCTGAGTGGGAAAGGGGAAGCATGGACAGACATGCCGAGTCTTTTTCAAATCCGTGATTCATTGTGTTGAAACACCGGGATAATCTTATTTGCCTGCGAGATACCTACCAGGAGTGGTTCGGAGATGGCCAACATGGTGTTGTGCACAGGCCCTCAGCAAGCAAACCATTTTCTTTGTTCTTGCTCTTCCCTGACCTCTGTTGCGGGGCGGTAATGAAGAAATGCTCGATTGACGGCGATGAGCCTTTGTGTAAGACTGTCAGCCCACGGCAAAAGGTGTGCGCCTCGTTCTATTTCTGACACATTGCAAACAGTGTCAAAGAGAAGCGTCCGAGTCAAGGAATCTGAATAGACAAAGGCATTCCATGCAGCTGCAAGCCGCTTGTTTAATCCCTTGATAACTTCCTCGCACGCCTCGTGTCCCTTGATCGAGTATTAGCGACTGTTTCGATAATCCTTTTCACATTGTTGTAGGGCAAAATCGCTGCCTTTGTCACATTAACCCGGAAATCGTGCAGCAACTTTGTCACACATCCATATTCAAATCCAACTTTGTTTATTACCCAGTCAGTCAAGATGTCAGTTACCAATCCCTTGATGGGATTTGAAAAGGACTTCGATATTCGAATCGCCGAAACAGCCGCCAAATGGAATCATAAGAAGAACAGCCTCCTGTCAAATCTAGAGGAATTTCACAAAGAAGAATGTCTCAAACAGGGTTCCAAATTTTCAAAAAACGTGGCCCTCAAAGTCATGCAAGCTTTTAACGAGATTGCCCGTAGTTCGCTCGAAGACCTGCTCGAATGGGTCTGTACCACGCAACGGAGTCAGGACGATGAGTCCAAGCGCCAGATCAAAAACCTGGTATTAAGTATAGAGGGTCATTTTCAGAATCAGACGTCACGAATCGAGAAAGAAAAGCGTCTCGCAGAACAACGGCTGCTCGTGATCGCGAGGGGCAGGCCCTCTAACCCTGCATCAAACCCTGAGCAGAAGCCAGAAAAGCCCATACCAAAACGTCGGACTTCCGGGTTGAGACGCGTTGGCAGTGCTGGGAACGCTTTCGAGCGTGCCAAAGTTACTGAGAGGATCATACTTGGCCAACAAGCCAATTGGCAGCCAAGACCCCCTCGCCATTCTCGTTGGAGACAGAATGCTATGCGCATGGAAAAGACCTTAAGTGGTCTAAATGAGAACTCTAAGAAGTTCTGGCTGTACCATCGAGCACAAACTTATGGTAATCCCAAGGGACCGGCTCGTCGCACCTCCGTTATGGCCTCTAGACCGCCCACAGCGATCCGGCTCAAAAAGCGGTACACAAGATCTCTAGATCAGGAACTCAATGATTCCGAGTTACAACGTGACGAGCCTGAAGATGTCCCTGATAATATACACGCAAAACCTTCTTTTAAGCAGGAGCCTGTCGCTGCTCAGGGGTATAGGCTTCCTGGCATAGGCGAAGGACTCCTCATGGACGACGCATTGGTTCTTGGGCAACAACTCAATGAAGAGTTCAGTACCACCTGCTCTCTGGCTGATATTGAAGAAGACTCGGATGGTGGGGATACCGAAGTCGAACAAATGGCTGAGGAGGGAAAAGGGCAACAGAAGAGGGATCTTGAAGAGAAACCTCAATCTGGGCCTGATGGCACTATCATGCTTTCACCCTACACGGCAATGCGGCTCCAGAAAACCCTCCTGCGTAACCACGAGCACGTCGATTTCGCAATAGCAGGATGCGAAAACCTGGAAAAGCACGATATCAATGCGAGTTCCGTGAATGAACTCATTGACACCTGGGTGCTGGCAATAAAGGACCACCATAATAAGTTCAGTCTCATCAAGAGTTTCTTTGCTGATATCGCTCGCCATGTGCTCGAAGTCGATCTCCCTCTAAACGCCGCCCGGAAATCGGAAGCATCTCCCTCTATCCCTATGCTTGGACACTCAGAACCTTCTGCGGGCACGAAAGGCTCTCAGTGTTTGTCAACTGCTCCTTCCAGCGGATCTCGCGATAGCTTCGTTAGCAGTGACGATGACCACGACGGTGACAATGCAGAGATGAGCGTAAGTAGCGAAACGAAGAGTCCTGTTTCGCCAGGCAATAAGCCAGTGGCGAGTTTCGGACCTGGATTTTCTCAAGATTTCAGTGTTTGGCAGCAAAAGATCAAGAAAAACAGAGAGTCCGTGACCCGGGGCCCTTATCTGAGCCCTCCTTCGTCCACTGGAACGCAAGATTGTACGACGCCGCAAAGCAGCCCGAGAGACGGAGACTCACCCAAGAAGTGGCAGAGAAGTCCGAAGGAGGAGAGTACTCCACAGAAGGACAGTGATGAAGAGAAGGAGGCTGTCTCTGGAGATAAGAAAGGAGATGGCCCTGCTGGAGACACGCTGAGCAACGGCGCTGGTGAAGCATCCTCAGACATACCTGAGGCATCTCAAGAGACGAACGCGCCAGCACCAGGGAACAGTGATGGCGGCGATGATCCGGATCCGGACCCGGATCCTACCAAAGGGGCTACCGCCGATATTGAGTCGTCACATTCATCAACAAAGGCTTTTGGTATCTTCCAATCCTTGAAACCGGGGCTTAGGTTCTTGATATTGCTGGTGAAGCTGTTTATACTCGAACAGTTCTGGGCTTGGTGTGCCGTTGTCAGCTTTGTCTATGAACTTATCTCCTGGTCCTTTCTCCGTTTACTCATGCGTAGGAGCGTGGAAGACGACGGTAAAGCGCTGAAATTCCCCAACCTACTTACGTATGCAGAGATGGGTGCTGTTATCAACCATGTTTTCTTCATGCTTCTTCTTGGGTCTTGGTTGGACATACGCGAGGAAAGACACCTGTGGGATATTGCCAACGGCCAGACGAGGGATCATATGTTGACGTATATTGCGATACAATCGTCATGGGTATCAACTTTGGGCTCTTATTATACAGGCTCATTATGGTATATCCTTGGGCCTGTGGAGGTATTGCTGTCCTGGATGTCGACCGGTCCGAGTGTTTTCAGGCAGTTTGTGACTTCATTTGTAATTCCATCATGGGCGTGTTTGACAGATGTCGTTGAAAGTGCAGTCTTGATAATCAAGACATACAAACTGACAGGTGGCTGATGGAAAAAGATAGTGGTTGGGGGTTTCTGGATTATTGTTTCTGTTTGTTAACAGTTGCTTTCAAAGGATATATATATATGTGTGTGTGTGTGAGTGTGTTAGTTACTTTCTGTGTGGTGTTGGACCTAATGTTTGTTCTCTTGGTCTGGGGAGTGGAGTGAGTGTAAGCTGTCTATAGTCCCAAATAGTACAATATTATATTGAGTGTTGAGTTATGTAGTCGATGGCCAAAACATATGAAACCAACGAGCTTCCATATAATTCAGCCAAGTTCGTTCATTTGACCAGAAACATATACACGTACCGAAGAGTCCTCCTAATTGAGCCGAGGCTGAACTCTTGTATCGGGCTCTCGGGGTGAAGTTACGTGCCGGATGGATCAAGCTACCTAGGTAGTCTTGAAATGATATTTGGAATCAATTAATTATGAGCTGCCAGCAACTTTGACAGTACATATTAATCCTTAACCCTATTTGCCAGGGAACCTTTCAGCTGGGTACATGGTAGATAAGAGAATGGAATTGGTTACCTCAGTCAGTACTGACCTTGTGCTGCATCTCAGCCTACAAGTGCAGGGGCTGCAGCGTATTAGTGTACGGTATTTCAAATACCTACAGCACTGACAACACCCACCCACATGCTGCTCCGTTGTATCCACTATTGACGCTTGAATTAGCATCCCCGATTTCCAGGGTCTTGGGCCAACTTAGCCAGAGTCGGCCGATTGATTGTCAATGGATCGGAATGTTGATGTCATTGAAGAAATGCAAAGACCAATTCTACGTAGTATTCTCAACTGGATGGAATATTACCAATTCAAGTCCAAGTCCAAGCTCCGCCTCGACATTATCAATTACCTTGCTCGTGATGATACGTCCAGCGTCTCGAATTCAATACTTAAACCTCAACGCATCCAGATCATTCCAGCACCAACAAAGATTCTTTCTATTTTCACGTGCATTCAAACAGACTCCAACACACGACTTCAACGTCATACATCTTGAACCTCGTATTGCGACATCTTCCAACAAAAGATTCAAACTTGTAACCTCTCTCACTCTGCCATCACATAATCACAACTTCAGCACACAATCAGGAGCCTCCAACTCAGCAGAAATGTCGTCCAAACTCATCCCCTCAGACCCTGATCATGTCATGGTCATTCGTAATGTCACCCCTAACATTGCCACTTTCTCAGTCCCCTTTTCACGATTTGGAAAGGTCAAGATTGGTGGACGAGGCACTCTAGGTATGCTCTCCTAGGTATTCATAAGAAGTACCTAACTTGAGCGCAATACTGACCCCCAGTAGTCAAGCTCACCTCTGGAGGCCTTGCCATCTTCTCACCAGTCGCACTCACCAAAGCCACCCAGGCCAAAGTCATGGAGATGGGAGGCGATATCCGCTATATCGTAGCTCTGGACTATGAGCACCACATATTCATTTCTGAGTGGAAAAAGGAATATCCTTCAGCCAAGATCATCGGCCCAGAGGGTCTGCCAGAAAAGCGCGCCAAGCAGACCGACGATCCTAAGATCAACGACGATGAGTTTGCTGTTGTCTTCAAGAAGGAAAATAAGCGGGAAATCAAGATTGACCCCGACTTTGATGCCGATTTTGACTATGAATACGTCGACGGCCACGCCAACCTTGAGATTGTCTTCTTCTACAAGCCTGAGCAAGTCCTGATCCAGGCCGATCTCCTCTTCAACCTACCCCCCACCGAGCAGTACAGTAAAGTGCCCGAATCAGAATTGCCCGCAGATGGAGCTGTTGGCAAGCTCTTCGCCTGTGTCCAGAACCCCCGTGGTGATACCAAGTGGTTACAGAGATTCAACTGGTATCTCCTCGCCAAGAACCGTGAAAGTTTCAACGACAGCATGGCCCAGATCGCCAAGTGGGACTTTCATACCATGATTCCTTGCCATGGAGATGTTTTGGAGGGAGATGGAAAGGAAGTGTTTATGAAGGTGTTTGACTGGCATCTCCAGGGACACAAATAGACGTAAACGATGACGAGATCATGGTGCTGGTGATGATGATGACGATGTACGAGCAGAGCATAGGTGAGGAGTTGGGGAGTGATGTGCAAATATTTGTAGTATTTTGTAATCTTACTGTAGATATGCCCAAGAAATTCTTTGTTCAATAGACCGACCACTCCGATACTCTTCCAATAATACAGTACAGCACTACTAATATAGTTTCAGGATTGTAAATACCATGTTCCGACTGGTCTCAAGATACTACGACGGTTTGAAATTTCACAAAAATTGACTAATCATCGGGTATAATACTATTTTGAAGCCAAAACGCCGGTATTGCAACAATCATCCATGCATTTACTCTTGCCCTTATCCAGTGTACGCCTTTTAACACCCTCGCTTCTATCCGCAGCAATCTCATCGGGCATGAACTCTCGGTTGCGCGATGACTCTGCAGCAGAAATAGTCGACTGCTTCCTCGCCCTTTCTAAATGTGTAGCCTCAGGGGTAGCAGAAGGTTGTGTCGATTGTTTCCTTGACGGAGGCTCAGGCTCCATCTCTACAAATCCAAACACAGGATGTTCGGCACTGATCAATTCACCTCCTTTGTGAACGTAGTCGCTGAGTTTCCCGAGTATAACAAACTCGACCTTGAGTTTTACCGAGTAGGCCACTGCCTTGATGCCCTGTTGCCACAGGAAATTGTTGGTAAAGCTAACGGCGAGGAGCGTGATATCAACTAGCACGATTCCCACGTTAATGGCAAACAGGTGCCAGATTATTCGAGGAGTCTGGTTTCCAGCTTCTCTTCTCTTGATGATCTCCACCGTTTTCCAAATGTAAAGGCCTGAAAGCAGGAAATCTTGAGCGCAGAAGAATGCCAGCTGAACCTTTTGGACCCTGACGAATGCGCCGTTGCGGTCGAGCTTTTGCTGCGTGCTGATAGCAAATAAAAGAACAGTAACCGCGCTGTGCCATATAACAGCATTAAGGATAATCATCCATTTTGTAACCTTCAAAATGGAGATGCTTTTGACGAGCAGGTTGAGTCGAGAATATAGAACAAGAGCTTGGCCGGTAGTCAGGAGTATCCAGCCAATGTCGTTTATGAGCATAATTGCGACATCCCCTATAACATCGAAATAACGAACCAACCAGCCACTCGCATACGGCAGCACACCGATGGAAGCCACAGCAAGGCTCCATGAGAAGAGGTCGTTATGCCGCCTGGATGATGTCAAGATGAGGAGAAGCAGCTCGATACCATTGTACAGCGAGATAGTGGCACATGTCTATAAGGCGTGTTAAATGGAGTACTCGAGTATCGAATTCGACAGGGGTCGTACTATGACTATCATGGCCTCTGGGGTATATCTCCCCGAAGACGTAAACTTGGAGGCGGCATCGGTGCGTCTCGAAAGAGACATGTTGGCCTGCTTTGGGCGAGCCGAGGCCGTGGCATGAGTTGAAGCAACAGAGAGCAATGCTCTAGAGAGAGAAAGGATCGAGTCCGAGAGCTGAAGGCTGTTGAGATTACCATAGGTTAGTAGTTGTGACGCCTCAAAGGCGGCACGTGATGGGTTCTCTTAGACCTTGGACCTTGGATCTACAGGTGAAGGAGGCTCAGATGCTGGGGCTTGCTAGGCCAGGGATACGAAATGCCTAGACTAAAGTTTTGGCGCATGTCTCTGAGGGATATCCATTGATTGATGGGGATGATGGTGTGGCTTCTAGGTTTGGGCTATGCGCTATGAAGATTGGGATGCACTTAGCTACCTTACCTATGCAGTATCCATGTCCGCTATGAGACAGGACAGCGGATCGGGATATAAGTGCCGCTATACCTTACGTACCTAGTATGAAGTGAACCCATGCTAGGGACTGGTCAATTTAGTCGGCAGACGGGACGTATAAGAAAGTCTGGGGCCATTAGGCATCGACAATTGCCATTGCCATGTCCATCCAGGGGCACTTATAATAAGGAAGCTCGACTAGCAATGCTACGTAGCATCTTGGTTGATTTTCGGGAAATGAATCTTGACACATGCCGATGTTTGGTTGATGAAAATACGACAACATTGGTGTATCCCATCAATACCTAGTCACTACAGACTGGGAAGTGAGTAACTAGCTAAATAAAAAGCAAAAAAAGTGTCAATCCTCAGTCCGGTCGGTAGTCAGAGGTTCTGATGATGCGGTAACGGCGGCTGATCAACGAACTACCTTAGCCACAAGAGGGAATTCATAGACAAGCAAATAAAAGGCTTGGTTAGTACTACAGCTCAGCCAATGATTAATTTGAAAAGTACGTGAATAGAAAGAAACATTCCTGTTTTGATTGCTAATTGGGGAGGTCAATGAATCTTGGCTTTGAATTAGTAGTCAATGATATCTGCTGAGTGAGGTAGACCTTATGACCGGGGCCATGTGATTGGATTCTCACCAACGTCATTAAGCTGAGCTGAGCTGAGCTGAGCTGTGAACGTCACTTTACCTTATCTTATCGCACCTCGACACCAGCCACTACATACTACCAACCCTGCCTAAGGTATTTTCACAACGCAACTCAAAACCTACAACACTAACAACAGCTCTCGTTTTCTGCGCGCATCTCTACTTCTCTTCTATTTACACAGAATGACATAGCCTATCATGTCTGAGTACGGGCGTATGGACCCGTTCTCTTTTGCGGCTTCCAAGGACGTCCATCATCCTGTGACCATTCGCATGTAATGCCCCTCAAACCCCTCCCATCATGGGAATACTGAACCTGACCTTGAGTAGTATGAACCTGGAGGGTGACGAACCTCCCTTCAAGCACTCCACTCTTCTCGAGCGCCCTGACTTGCGCCACGTTGGGTCCAACCTTGGGTGCGCGACATTGCTCACTATCCTAACTTTCGCGATAGACTAACAAGAGCTGCTAGCCCGTACTCTGACCTTTATGTCACAGTGCAGATCTGGGCTGGATCAAAACCCTTGACCGTCCCTGTCCAGACCGCTTATAAACCTTTTCGATCCGAGCGAAAGTACGATACCCTCCGAATGTGATGGCACAAGTATTGACCAAGTTAGATGGAATGAGTGGCTACAGTTGCCTATCACATACGACTCCTTACCAGCCAACTCATGCTTGGCTATAACAGTATGGGACCTATCCCCGACTGGCGGCAAAGGGGCCATTGGCCATGCCATTCCGTTTGGCGGCACGACACTGCCCATGTTCGATGAGGATAATCAAGTACAGAAGGGAAGACAAAAGTGTCTTGTTCACCGATACAAAAATGCAGACGGCACCGACAACTCTACGACGCCCGCGTTGGTTTCGACAAAGAAGAAAACAACGCGAAAAGGGGAAGTCCCCCCACTAGATAAGGATGCAGAAGAGTTGGAACGGATGGAGACCTTATTCAAGAAACACGAGATGGGTGAGATTCCCCGGGTTGACTGGCTAGATCAGATGGTATTTCGGAGCTTTGAGAAACGAGGCCTGCAAGCTGCCAAATCGTCAATGAAAATGCTCCAGAGGCAACGAGCTATCAACAGTGAGAATGATCCGGACAATCGAGATGGCGAAAACAAGGATGGGCGCCCTGGACAGTCGACGTTCTTACTGAACGTGGAGTTGCCACGTTTCGATTTCCCTGTTGTCTTCGCTGACCACGAATACGATCCGCCCCCGATTTCAGCTTTCCAGAATCTCTCCGTTTCGCAAGCAAGCCTCGCAAATCGTCAGCCAGAAGTTCATTACGGTCCAGGTATCAATGCCGTGGGCGAGAGCTCTTCGGCACCTGGGAGACGGCTCATCAAAGTCTACGACCCTGAAGTTGGACACAGAGACAACCCTGCAGAGGCCAAGCATCGAAGACTATTCAGAAGCTCGTATAGGCACGGCATCATTGATAAGAACTTGAAGCCGAATGCCAAGGTTCGAGATGAGCTCAATCTCATAATGTCGTATTCTCCAACTCATGTTCTCACCCCAGAGGAGGCAGATCTGGTATGGAAATTCCGTTACCACTTGACTCGAGACAAGAGAGCGTTGACAAAGTTTGTCAAATCTGTCAACTGGAGAGATCAGGGTGAGGCCAGACAAGCTATTCAAGTCCTTGGGCGCTGGACTGCAATCGATGTTGACGATGCGCTGGAGCTCCTCGGGCCATCCTTCGACAACTCTGCTGTGCGTTCGTACGCCGTAGACAGATTACGAAAAGCCGACGACAAGGAACTTCTGCTTTACCTTCTTCAACTTGTTCAAGCGCTCAAGTATGAGCACATATCAGCAGATTCAGAAGAGGAAAGCAGTCAAGATTCATCCCTGGCCCGTTTCCTGATCCAGCGTGCGGCTGCCAACTTTTTGCTCGGCAACTATTTCCACTGGTATCTCATGGTCGAGTGTGACGATGCTAGCCCTGAGCAAGGTATTGATAACCGCAACATCTACCGCAAGGTCGCATACGACTTCATGGCCGAGCTTGTTAAACAGCCGGATGGCCAGGAAACGCGCAAGACTCTGTTGCGCCAAGCAGAGTTGGTTGCTATTCTCTCGAGGATTGCTCAAGAGGTCAAAACCTCGAGTGAATCAATTCCGAAGAAGGTGGACCGAGTTAAGCACTTTCTGGCTGATCCCAAGAACGAGTTATTATCATTCGATCCGCCCTTACCGATGCCGCTTGACCCTTCAGTGCTGATTACGAGCATCATACCAGACCAGACAGTTGTGTTCAAGTCTTCACTAAACCCGTTCAAGTGCACCTTCAAGACAACAACTGGGAGCTCCTATGCCATTATCTTCAAGCTGGGCGATGATCTTAGACAAGATCAACTTGTTATTCAGATTATCACCCTTATGGATCAACTGCTGCAGAAAGAGAACCTTGACCTCAAGCTGTCGCCCTACAAGATCCTGGCGACAAGTACTTCTGCTGGCGCTTCGCAATTTGTACAATCCCAAAGCTTGTCAAGCATTGCTAACAAGTTCAAAAACAACCCAGCTTTGGCCTACCTCAAGATTAACAACCCGGATGACAGTCAACCTCTCGGCGTCCGACAAGAAACACTGGACACGTACGTAAGATCTTGCGCAGGGTACTGTGTCATCACTTATATCCTCGGCGTTGGTGATCGTCACCTGGAAAACCTGCTTCTTGCACCTGACGGCCACTTCTTCCATGCCGACTTCGGCTACATTCTTGGCAGAGATCCCAAGCCTTTTGCACCTCTGATGAAGCTGTCCAAGGAGATGGTGGATTGCATGGGTGGCGTGAACTCGGAGCATTATAAGCAGTTCAAGCAGTACTGCTTCCTTGCGTTTACGGCACTACGCAAAAACTCAAATCTCATTCTCAATCTCTTTAGTCTCATGGTTGATGCCAACATCCCTGATATCCGACTTGAGCCTGATAAGGCAGTGCTCAAGGTCCGAGACCGTTTCCACTTGGAGTTGAGTGAAGAAGAGGCACTAAGTCACTTTGACCGGATCATCGAGGAAGCTCAAACATCTTACGCTCCTGTTGTCATTGACAAGCTGCATGAGTGGGCCCAGGCTTTCAGGGCATAGAATGATTGGAAATGACACGGGCATTAGGAGTTGGGGTGTTTATATCATATATATTAGCTTTTGTTAGACAATACACCAGATTTGATATTTGAGATGTTATTGTTTACATTTGTCGTTCGTTTCGTCGAGGGCCCGGGTCTCTACCCGTTGGACCATGGTTCAAGGAGTGGCTACTTATCACACTCTGCAGCGGCCTGGCTCACCTGTTCATATTGGAATAGCCAGCCCAACCCATCGCGATGTACGTTATGCTCTTGTCCACATGTTTTCCTCCCGCCTATGTCTCGCCAAATGTGAAGATACCCTTGCCCTTACGGAATCCCTCAAGGCCCTGCTGTACGGCATTGCGCAGAGTCTCCTCCTCTGTCTCCCAGTCCCACTTGACCTCCTCAATAGGGACGTCACGGAACTGGCCAGATCGGATGAGCTGGAGAATATCGTTGATGGCATGTCTCCTGCCAGTAGGGTCCTCCTCATTGAGTCTGCTGAGCCAGAAACCGAGGAAGCGGACATCCTTGAAGATAAGGAGAGCGAGGGGTAGTGAGACTGGCTGCTTAGCCATGCCACCATAAGAGACCAAAGTAGCGCCTTTGCCGAGCGACCGAGCGATTGTGGTTGCCGACTTGCCACCAACGCAGTTGAGACCTAGACCGATCTCCTCACGACCCTTGCGGGTGATTTCTGCTAGTTGATCCTTCCACTGAGGAGTCAGAAACTGGGTTTCGGTAACAACGACATCTGCGCCGAGGTCTTGGAGCTCTTTCTTTAAAGCGTTAGTCGCCCTGGGTGTTTCGCGATCGCGAATAACATTGATGCTCCTCAAGCCCCAGAGCTTTCCAAACTGGATGGCAGCTCGTCCAACACCAGAGTTGGCGCCGTTCTGGATGAACCACTGGCCACTGCCAACTTCAAGGGGGCGCATACCCATACCAGCTTGAAGACCAGCACTGGGTCCATAATGTCGCAGGATGCGGTAGGCGGTGCATGGGTTGACGCTCACGGTCGCGACTTGCGTAGGAGTCAAGCCCTCCTTATCGATCTTGATAAACTTATCGGCTTCAGCAACGGCATGGGTTCTCCAAGTACCGAACTGGCCGATGGCGGGGATGACCCAGTCGCCTTTCTGTAGCGAGGAGGAGGGTGATCCTGTGGCAACAACCTCGAAGACACCTTCGTTACCGGGAATGGCAGAAGGTTCAGCGGTACCAATTAAGTTGGTGAAGGGAGGCATAGAGCCATAAACTCCCTGAACTGTGTTGACATCGGCGGGGTTGATGGGAGCGGCGAGAGTTCGGACGAGGACCGAATCCGAGGGAATAGAAGGGGAGACAGAGTGACTATGAAGCCTGCAGACAGTTGTTAGTCATACCTACGAGGGGATATATCATACACATACTTGAGAACTTTGGCTGGGTCTCCAGGCTTTGAGAAGACAAGAGCCTTAGCTTGTGTGTAGCCATAAGGACCCGACTTGTATCGCGCGGCGATCATGGGAAGTCGGGTCATATGTTGAGCACTGAGCTTAGCCGAGGGCCTCACAAGGCCTGAGGAGGCGAGTGGCCTGAGGCGCAGACACTGCGAACTAGCCATTGCGATGAAGGTAACTTATTCAATCAATTGTCGAGCAGAAATAAGAGCAATGATTACCTTTCCTCAATTGAGGCTGAAGCTTGCTTGATTCAAGCTTGACGAAACAAGTTCAACCGAGCTCGGATCAAATAAAACGATTAAAGCTCTATGACGTTCAAATGTTGACAACCTAAGCCAATTAGAACATGCGATTAAATGGGACCGCGTCCCCAGTCAGAGAAAACAGAAATGAAGATTCTGGAGGGTCCAAGATTAATGAAAGTGGGTGGGATGATGGATCCATTCCCGCGTTTGTGGAACGCGGGGGCCTTCCTAGATCGGGGGATGTCGACGAGACGGGTAACACAAGAGATAAGATTGGGAATAGCGTCAGAGTTTCTACAGCTTGAATAGGGAACAAGAATTGTCTGACGGCGCTAGCTTGGACGGTTCATGAAAGAGTGAGGTACCTGACGATACCTCCCCTATCATGACTCGCAATGATGAGAAACGGCCTGCAAATGCTAGAGGTTGGTCCCAGGGGAGAAAAAGGTAGATCACATAAATAAACTTGGGTTGTTTCTCATATGCACGATAAAGGGAGGATAGTCATGCATAGGTAAGTAGTCCGATCTTGAATCGCTCTAACAGAGAAAAAGGCAAGACAATCAATCGTGCCGTGAGTGAAACATGTTTTAGTCTTTCGAGCGGGTTCCTGGTCTCCCGTGGAAACGCAATCCAATCCAACCAAGAATTTCTCTCTGCTGCTCGAGTCGTCGTGTTGAAACTGCGCCTCGAGTGCCAAGGTACTTGTGAGGATAGATACGAGCTAACTATCTGAAATACGTAGTAATTTCGGCAACAAGGCAGCTTGTGAATATGGTCAATGGTATAGCACTGTTGACAGATAACAGCTCGTCACTATCCGTAGGTAGGTAGGTACCTCAACTATCGACATGGAGCCGTTGATATAGGCCCGGTTGAAACATGTTGGCGCCAACGTTTCTTCTCTCCGTCGAATGGGTGGTTCATCGAGTCTTGACACACGTCTGTGGCGTTGGAAAAAGGGTGTTTTCTCGGAGGTTGTAAGGGAGAAAAGAAAAGGGAGCAGTGAGTATGAGGAATTGACTTTTGAATCTATGATTAACTCAATCATTAATCGGTGCTTCTTCTTTTGAGTTTTCCAATGTTTCACGAGTCTATAGCAGAGTCGATTCAACCTTGTTCCTTCGGAATCGTTCGCCATTTGGTGTCCTTTTCTTCAATAGTCTCGGTCTGTCCCGTAGGTGGTCTTGAGTGATTGCAGGATGGCTTCCGAGATTCAAGGTCAGTACTTTGGAGGTACTTCCAAGTCTCGCCAGCCACACGCTGCGAGAGGGTCCGCTATCCCCCATATCGATTAGACCAATCACCATTTCTGGTAACGCAGGTACCAGGCAGTACTTTGCGAGCCCAAAGACGCCCAACTCGCGTGGCTCCAGCAGGGTCCAGGGAACAGCGGGCTCGCTGCAGTCCGGGTCTCTCAGGGGCAAAGGTCTGAAGAGGAAACACTTTTGTGTGGCACTCGAACCTACAAGTACCCCCAAAGTCGCTTTATTAGGTTCGCTGCCAGCCACGACATTCTCCACTTACATCAGGAAGGTCGTACTGTACCTCTCATGGCTCTCTCTCCTCAAAGCCTAAGACCCGGTCTTGCACCAATTCTTCTCCTCTGAACACACTCTCCTCCCTCTCTCCTCTCTTCTATCCTACAACATCCACGGCCTCATAATATCTCTCTCTACATCAACTACCCATCGCCTCAATTGCTCCCCACGTCTAAGATCATCGTCCTTGTTACCAAAAGCACGCCACGCCGCGTGTTGGATCCCTGCAACTTGCAGTCAACCACAAGCCACTAGACCCTTGCTCCAATTTTCCACCTCTACCTTACCTTACCTTACCTTACCTTACCTTGCGCTACGCTACAGCACTGTGCTGTCTGCGTCTGTATCCGTACCTTTCCTCGTTATTCTGCGGCACCTCTTCATCCTGGTCGGGTCAAAACTGTTGACTACTAGAACTCTCCTTTCTCTTCGCCCTGTTCTTGCGGGGAGTTTGAGACTCAGCTTCGTCATCTAAGCCTGGATCCCAGTCATCAATTACAGCCTCATTGAGAGTTTTGATTGCCATTCCAATTCTCGTTTTGAGCTCCTTGGCCCTCGCTTCGCCCAAGGTATCCTTCTTTTGCTGAATACCCCTTTCCGAATTCGGGCCCTCGCCATCGAATCGACCTGCCTTCTTCCATTCTCCGTCCGTTCCGCCTCGTATCGTATCGTGCACGAATCGCCAATTCACCTATTTCCCCCCCATTATGTCGTCTCTTTTTGGCAAGAGCGGCGGAGGTTCGCGATTTCAGCTGCCCGCTCTCAACCTCAACTTTGGTAGTATCACAGACGGCACCAATATCCCACCGCCTCCGGAATCACCTGTTCAGAAGGTCCCAACTCCTCCACAGACACCGCCACCCGCCAAAGACGTCAAGGACGAATCCAAGAAGGAACCAGGACAGGCTACATACAGCAGTGTCACCGAGGACGTCAACAAGAACACACCTCAGCCAAGCATAACTGCTTCTTCTAATGGTAATCTCGCTGGAACCAAACGCTACGCCGACGAGGATGCTCCTTTGAGCCCAGCTGCTTCAAGCCGCCAAGGCAGCATCCGTCGCCTATTCAGTAGAACCATGTTGAATAACACTTATGCAGAGGGCCAGATATCATCGAACGGAAGTGTCCCAGCCGCCAGCGCCGGTGGCCTTGCGCGGCCGAGCAGCCAGGGCGGTGCAAGCTACCTCGACGAGCGCAAGTCTAGGAGAACCAGCGGCTGGTTCAGACGCATGAGGACCGGAGAGACGATCCCCAACAAACGAGCCAGTACCATGTTTATGGAGGAAGGTCCTCGTGCACCGACACCCAAGAAACAATCCGGCCCGCCGCCTCCAATGATACCCGAATTGACCGATCTCGAAAAGGACAACGGAAGCTTGGGTTCTGATCTTTTCAAGAACATCAAGTAGATCGACATTTCATGCGACACCTAGAGCCAAAATTCACCTGCCGTGCTCGACTCGCCAATAATGGCTGGACAGCCACCCCGTTTTCTTTTTCAACTATTTACATATTCAAGGACCGGAGATTGAGACAAGACAACACATTACACCTATTTTTATTATTATTATCGATCGGCCCAGAAGTAGCAGCAGCATCATAACATGGGCCAGTCCAACCACTTCTGAAAACGCGTCTCTTCTACCATGACCGTTTTCTACGCAGCCAGAAGGATGTTTTCAGCCCATGTCTTGGGGGAAAGGGTGTCTGCAGTGGAGCAGGGGAAAATGGGGGGAGAAGGAATCAAGAGCAGTGCAGCATGGTGAAGGCAGCTCATCAAGATACCCAACTCGTTTCGCGAGCTCACTTATCCGGTGTGCGAATTATGGATTTGTTTTCTTCTTGTTTGGCATTGCTTTAGTTGTCTATGCTATGCGCTATGATACTACAATGCAGTGTATCATGGTCATCTTACGGGTTTCATGTCACTATTTGTCATTTATTACTTGCCACCATCACCTGAACAGCCCCTGCTACTCCTATGCGGAGAATCATCTCAGATTATTATTTCTTTGTGAGAGTTACAAGGCTATTTCCTTTTTCAAAATTTCTTCGGGGGTGACAGAAAGGAGCATGCTGTGGGTGCCCTTTTGGATTTTACACATCTATTTCTAGAGAGGAATTTGTACAGATAGGTGATTCTGTTTTGAGAGAAAACAAGGAGAGCTTTTGGAGACAACATGCCGAGATATTGGTCAAAGCTCCGTTACTAGAGGGAAGTCTCCCTCTTGTTATTGGATATGAGGCTTATGAAGAATTGAACCCCAGATCCTTACTATTCACGGTCCTTGATATGATCCATGCGCAGGGGAAGGCTGACTAGAGATCTGTGATAGTTCCGCCCGTGACTTGTTTGTGCCGTAATCTGAAGCACAGATCAGGACGTACAAGTGCGTCGGTGAACGTCACTGTATCGATAAATATTCCGATGTGTGCGTATATGAGGCTGTGCAGAGTTTTTTGTGAGATATCGAATTCATGCCCGTCCAACAATATGACGGCAGTCTGGGAGATGAGGACTTCGGTGATACATCCTCACTCACACTTCCAAGCCCTCTGTTTTCAGCTTCGCATACAGAGCGTCCTTGGAAGCTTCATACCCAGGTACCATAATGCCTTCACCTGTCGGAACTGGTGCATTGAAGAGTGGCACAACTCTCGTTTCCCCTTTGGTCACTTCGAGGATGGTGCCATTGCCATACTCGGGGTTGACGACAAGTTGCCACATGCCTCGAGCCACTTCTAGAGGATCTATCAGGACTGTATCCTCGTCTAGCATGACTGCTTTGGTTGGATCTTCATGCCACAGAGGGGTCTAGTGATAGCCAGGCATTAGCAGTCTTCCAAAGACTAGAAAAGACTCTGGCGAGCTTACCTCTACTGCGCCGGGAGCAATACAGCTGACTCGAATACCAAGATCATCGCGCAATTCCCCCAATGCTCTTACGAACCCATGCAAGCCATGCTTACTCGCAAAGTACAAGGGTGTCGCTATGCCAGCCAAGTAGCCAGCCATGCTGCCAACATGTACAAGGCATCCCTTTTGCTTCGTCTTTGTCCAATGCCCGATAGCCAGCTGACTGAGCCGAATGGGAGATACCAGGTTCACATCCAAGACTGCATAGTGTCCAGGTTCCGCATTGGCATTATCTCGAGAGACACTATCCTCGTTGCTCTCAGTTTTGGGTGGCTCCCAGAAGGAGGACCATTGAGGCTCGAACAGACCGGCTCCAGGAACGACAATGTCGACAGTTGTGAACTTCTCCAAGGCCTTCTTCCAAGCAGCTGTCAACTGTGGCCAAGATGTAACGTCGGTTTCTTGAAACAAGACTCCAGCTTTGCCGTCGACGCTAGGGAATGGATATTGCTTCA